ATCTATCTATCTATCTATCTATCTATCTATCTATCTATCTATCTATCTATCTATCCGAATCACCTCTATGCACGTATTACCCCGAATAACCTCTGTGCAAATTATGACCCCGAACGACCTTCGCGCACGTATGAATGACTTCAAAATGACCTCAGAGTACGCTTTACAGCCAATGAAATGTGTGTTCTTGTGACCCCAATAAAACCATACACCTACCCTTTTTTCTCTGGCAGGATGTGGTGCAGTCTCTCCAGGAAAAGTTGAACATCTCATGTGGTCACCACTTCTGTCTGGTGCTGCAGAACATGAAGTCCACCACACCGGGGAAGATGGTGCTGCTGCAGGAGGGAGAAACTCTCGCGGAGGTATAAAAATGTGCTGTCTCTGTCTGTCTGTCTCCTGTCGATCTGTTTGATTGCTTGTCTTTTGTGTGTCCGTTTGATTGTGTCGTATTTAGTCTGTTCGTGTGTTTGTTTGATTGTGTGTCTTTTTTCTGTTCAAGTGTTTGTTTGTTACTCTCTAGTTAAGCCTTTAATTATCGGTGCTTGTATGACCAAATTTTGTTGGAAGTGGCTCTCACACAAATTCTCCCACTTCCTTACACATACACTCTGTTACTCCTATTTAAAAATGGTGAAATGGTGTAGGTTTAACGCCTCTATCAACACTGTTATGTTATTTAAGAGGCGGACCTCCGAGTTTAAGGTCCATCTCCGAAAGGACCAAGCCAAGTGGGATATTCATGTAAAGTGCCTTTCCCAAGGACACAACGTCGGACCGAGCTGAGGCTCGACCCCCCGAACCCGCAATCTCACGATTACGAGTCAGGTAGCCTAACCTCTAGGCTTGTTACTCCTGTTAAATGATGTGACATGATTGATGATTTATGTAAGGGTTATTAATGCAATCGTTGTTGTTGTCATTGCTGCTGTTGTTATTGATGTAGTTCTGTTCGTTTTTGCTGCTGCTACTATTGTTGTTGTTGTTGTTGTTGTTGTTGTTGTTGTTGCTGCTGTTGTGGTTGTTGTTATTGTTGTTGTTGTTGTTGTTGTCTTCATTACTGCTGTTCTTGTCGGTGTGGTCATGTTCTGAAGTTGTTTAGATTGTTACTCCCGCCGGGGAGGTGCCACTGACTGAAGTGTCTTTGGGTCATTCCCAAAGGGGGGACATTTCTCGTTCAAGCACAGTAGA